GATCGTCCAGGGGCCCCACTGGTTGTTTAGCAGGCTTCCTGCTTCTGATGTACTTAAAAAACATTTTATTACCTTTTGAGTTTTTGGCTAGCCATTCTTCAAACTCGTCTTTGGCTTTTCTTATTACATTTTTACACTTAATTTGACAGTGTTTATGCTCCTTTCTATTTACCTCACTAGGATTTGACTTCCACTTTTTAAAAGATGCCTTTTTATCTCTCCCTGCTTCTTTTACATGGTTGTTAAGCCACAGTGGCTCTTTTTTAGTTCTTTTAATGTGTTTTTTAATTTGGGGTATACATTTAAGTTGGGCCTGTATTAGGGTATGTCTACACTACGGGATTAATCCAAATTTACAGAATTCGAATTTTGGAAACAGATTGTATAAAGTCGAATGTATGCGGCCACACTAAGCATATTAATTCGGCGGTGTGCGTCCATGTATCGGGGCTAGCGTCGATTTCCGGAGCGCTTGGCTAACTGCAGGGAAGGATTTCTTTTCAGCCACAGGCAAACAGCCCAGTAGGAACGGCCACCTCTGTCCCCTTAATTAAATTCCCATATTTCAACCAGGTTACCATGAGCGATATCACTCTCCTGAGGATTACACAGCGAGATAAAGAATGGATGTTGCTTGAATGCCAGCAAACACCGAGACCATACGCTGCCAGGCTTTGTCATGCAATGATACCAGATTACTTGCTACTAGCATGGTGTGGTCAAGTGTCCTACCATGGAGGACGGAATAAGGCTGCACTGCCCAGAAACCTTGTGGAAAGGCTTTTGGAGTACCTCCAGGAGAGCTTCATGGAGATGTCCCCTGGAGGATTTCTGCTCCATCCCCAGACACGTTAACAGACTTTTCCAGTAGCTGTACTGGCCACAAATGCATCCCAAGTCCTCAGGGCAAAGTAATAATTAAAAAACGCTTGCTTTTAAAACAAGTTTTATATTTTAAAAGGTAAACTCACCTGAGGTCCTTTCCATGGGGTCATGGTCTTGGATACTGGCTTGGGAGGGTACTTCAGTCAGGCTGAGAAAAAGATCCTGGCTGTTGGGGAGAACGGAGTGCTGTGTGCTCTCCGCAAGCTCGTCCTCCTCCTCCTCCTCCTCTTCCCCGTCCGCAGAATCCTCAGGTGTGGCTGATGAGATTACCCCCGCCTCGGAATCCACAGTCAGAGGTGGGGTAGTGGTGGTGGCCCCCCCTAGAATTGCATGCAGCTCGGCGTAGAAGCAACATGTCCGCAGCTCTGACCCGGAGCGACTGTTTGCACCAAATGCACATGTATGCCACCCGCCCGCAGGGCAGGTAATCATACATGCTGCACTCAGCGCAATAAACTGGATAGCCCCCACTCTGCTGCTGGGCTTCTGCCTGCATTCTCTCCTACAGCTACCTAAGTTAATTAAAGGGTTTTGTTTAAATCAAGAAGTTTTGAATATAGTTTAGTTTACAGGTTTTAAAGAACAGCAAGTGAACCTTGCCCCCTTCCCATTCCCCTTTCAAACTCCCTTGCGAAACTCTGTTAGCAGCCCTGTTCGCAAAGTGTTAATTTGAATAGTGTCCTGGCATGTCAAATTCAAGGCAAACCCATAGCAACGAGTATATATAGCTCATGGTTCATCCTGTTGCAGTCTGGTTGCTACTCCAATACTTTGCCTGCCTTATTAATTAGTGACGACATCATGGTGATATGCTAGGTTTTCAGTACTCTCAGAAGAAAGATGAAAGCAGGAAGAGCCTACTGAAAATACTAAGTAACATATGTTATCTTGCTAGAAAAGGACTTGCATTGCAAGGCCACTATACTGAAAATATGCTTGTCACAGGGTGTTCTACTCACCACTGAAGTGCCTCTTTTGGCTGCATTAGGGCATTAGCTCTGTCAATATGATTCCCCTTTCTGTAGTTGTTAATTCCACCTGTCTCTCAGTCTCATTCTCCCAGGATTTGACTGCTCCTGCGTCATGGCTTGGCCCTCTGGCCAGGTCACAGTATTTTTCCTCTTCCGGGGTGTGTGTATCAAAGTCTCAGAAACCCCGTCCTAGCCATTCTTCCCATTCACTGCCCCTTAACAATACCACTTCCTCAGTGGCTGGTGGAGGAACCCAGGCCCACCCTTTACACTAGGTTCCAGCCATGGGACCCAACAACAAGAAGTCAGAGTCTGCACAGTCCTAAACCTAAACCTTACTATTCCTGCTGTATCCCTGGGTAGTTCCTGCTTTGTCTTCTCTCATCCTGAGTGACTTCAGCCTCACTCTCTGGAGTCCCTTCTACTCTCAGCTAGCAGGCTTTCTACAGGCCCCTCCTGTTCCTCTCCAGCTGAGCTTCATCTCTACTTAGTCCTCCTTGCTCCATGGCTCCTCCTCCTGGTGCCGCCTGGGTGGTTCATTGGCCCACCCAGTCACCTGAAGCCCTTCAGGTATGGTGTGGGGTGGACACGATCACAAAGCCCTTAAGTAGAGAAGTTGACTGCAACTTTATTCAGCTGCTTTTTTTTTTTTTTGTCAGGCAGAAGAGGATCCTTATGTATCAGCTGAAAAGTCAAGACAAATTTGCTGAAGAAGACGGCTGTTTCATCTGCCATACCTGTATGCCACTTTCCAGAATTTTTCTCAGAAATATTTTTCACTGTTTTAAGAGCCATGATTTCCTTTATCTCATTTTGAACCCCCAGGTTGAGAACCAGTGCTTAAGCAGAAAGTGTTCATGATATACAAGAGCTACAAGTTCATCCTGGCCTTCATTTTGAGTTAATAACTAGGAAATGGTGCCAGTACTTGGTGATTCATGTTCATGTTGAGGATATGCGGGGTTTGACCTCTTCTCTCACAATTCCCCTAGACTCCCAGAAGATCTCAAAATCTCCTAACAGCTTCTGCTTTAGAGAGATGTACTAGGAACTGTGGGACAGCTACCCACAGGGCATTGCAGCTACAATGATATAGAAGAGCACTAATGTGAAAGTGGGTGTGATATTCTGGGTTTCTACTCAGACCCAGATAGTTGAGTGGTTACCTCCTCCCCTTCTTAGTTTGTCTTTTATGTAAATGCATTTCCAATGTCTCTTGATTTATCTTCAAGGAGATGGAACCACATTCCGTTGTCTAAGGTGGGATACCTTATGTCCTGCCAGGCACACATTTTAAGAACATAATTTCAGCACATATTTATAACTCTGTACACATTCCATACATACATCATGCAAGAATATTAGTGATCAGTGATGTATTAATTTTCCAGTGATATATTATTATGTGCTACCTTTTGGGTATATATCATGACATCAGTGTGTTGGGTGTAGTTAGTGTGTCAGGCTTGACAAAAGTGCTGACACAGAGTAGCGAACCACTAATGGGCCTCTGTATAAAACTAAACTGAAACCACAGGTTTCAGTGGTAGCCGTGTTAGTCTGTATCAGCAAACAAAAAAAAGAGGAGTCCTTGTGGCACCTTAGAGACTAACAAATTTATTTGGGCATAAGCTTTCGTGTGCTAGAACCCGCTTCATCAGATGTATGAAGTAAAAGATGTAGGAGCAGGTATAAATACATGAAAGGATGGGGGTTGCTTTACCAAGTGTTAGGTCAGTCTAACGAGATAAAACAATTAACAGCAGGATACCAAGGGAGGAAAAATAACTTTTGAAGTGGTAAGAGAGTGGCCCATTACAGACAGTTGACAAGAAGGTGTGAGTAACAGTAGGGTGAAATTAGTATTGGGGAAATTAAGTTTAGGTTTTGTAATGACCCAACCACGCCCAGTCTTTATTCAGGTCTAATCTGATGGTATCCAGTTTGCAAATTAATTCCAGTTCTGCAGCTTCACGTTGGAGTCTGTTTTTGAAGATTTTTTGTTGAAGAATTGCCATTTTTAGGTCTGTTATTGAGTGACCAGAGAGATTGAAGTGTTCCCCTACTGGTTTTTGAATGTTATGATTCCTGATATCAGATTTGTGTCCATTTATTCTTTT